AGAGAGAGAGAGAGAGAGAGAGAGAGAGAGAGAGAGAGAGAGAGAGAGAGATGGTTTTCATGAATTCTTGGCATTTTTGCAGTGTATGGTTGACATATAACTGCAATATTCCCATATCAGCTGACTCACTGGCAAAAATGAAAAATTAACAAGTCAGTGTGTGGGCAGATCAATGTGACTCTTTTACCAAAAACTAATTAAAGGTATTATTACAGTTTGAGAATGACAAGAATTGAGAAGCAGTATGTTGTTTTATTGTCTTCATAAGGAAATTTCTCAGTCTATTTCCAGACTTTGGTTAAAACCAGATGTGCTGCGGACACCACTGGTAGATCAAATGAATGGTGTCATCTTGGATCCAGAATTAGTACGTGAAATTCCTGCCAAATGCTAGCTTGTCAGGGCCTCGGCTGAGCTGCATGAGGTGGGGCTGCCTATTAAGACAGATGTGTGTGCTCCTGTTCTCAATCCATCAACTTAAGCTGTCAAAATTGTCACAATGTATAGATTTAAGTCTGTGAGTGGTACAGTTTCAAGTCTGAAATGTCTTGTCTCCTTCCAATCTTCAAGGATGTCATCCTAGGGAGGGGGTTGACAAGCTGCTGATCTTAACAACAAGGCCTGAAAGGGACACTTTGGTCAGAAGAAGTCAAACTCAGCTAGCGATGGTGGCACACACTTTTAATCCCAGCACTCAGGAGGCAGAGGCAGGTGGAGCTCTGAGTTCAGGGCTAGTGTGGTCTACAGAGTGAGTTCTAGGACAGCCAGGGTTACACAAAGAAACCCTGTCTCAGAAAAGTAAGTTCAAAATCAGTTACTATGGCAAAAAAAAAAAAGTTCTTGAGAAAATCAATTTCTATGGAGGAAGGAATGGTTTGGGCTCACAGATACAGAGATTTCAGTCCATAGCCAGTTGGCCTGTAGCTTTGGGGACCACAGTAAAGCAGAATTCTAGAGTTGCACTCATGGTGCAACTCATGATGACCAGAAAGCAGAGAGAGATAGGAAGGAGAAGCCCACAAAGACTTAGTTTGCTCTGACTAGACCATACCTTTTAAAGGTTGACTGCCTTCCAATAACACCCTAGCCTGCTGATCAAATGTTTAACATGTGAGTCTGTGGGGAATACTTGCCTAAACCACGGCAAGTGTCCTTCATGAAAACTGTGGTTTTGACTGGAATTATTTTTATAGCATTCTTGTTTATTTCATTTCTTAAAGTGCAAGCAAAACAATGTCTTTTGATGGATGGTAAATACTTTTACTTTTATTCTATAATTCATTAAACTCTTTTGGGAAATCGAATAAAAATAAAGACATTTATCAAAATGTACGTATTTTCCTCCCTTCAAAATTAGCATTGCTCAAGGCAGTGGGCGTCATCTTCAGCCAAACCCAGCTGTTTTCTCTTCATTTATGGTTGCTGTTCCTAGCTTTGTGATTTTTCAGATGTTGCTCGTCTCTGTCTCAGCATTGTGGTATAATATTGATCACTCTTGTTTATATGAATGTGCGGTGTGAGAATTAATCATGTTTTTCTTATAATGGGAAAAAATCTTATTAATGTTTGGTTTCTTCTGCTTATAATTTTCCCATTTAGGAAAATCTTGTTGCTTTTAAGATACATGTTGTGAGGCTGTAAATTAGAGACCCTTTGGCATGCTAATGTTGGTGGGGAAAACAATGAGGAAAATAGCTGTTTATTCCCCTAGTTTGAGTTTGTGGAGAAGAAGTTTTAACCAAATAAAGTCTGAGTCACAGGCAGATCCCTGGAAATTTAATATAATGTAATTTTAAAATGAGTTTTCAGTGCTTTGTTTTCAGAGATGCTTCTGAATATCAGGTACAAAATAACGTTTGTTCGTCTTCAGGAATTTATAATGCTAATGGTGTTAAAAGGTAGAGGTTTCCTTTGGAGATTTTTTTTTCACCTTGGTGTATTCTATTCTCTAAATCCTTTCCTTACAATTATCTCTTTTTTCTTTAGCTCTTGAGACTTCTAAAGTTCATGCCCCTGCTATAAACTATAGTGCTCAAATGCGCACAGAGCCCTCACTATGGTTTACTCTCTACATTTTCCATATCTCCTTAACATTTAGTGTCTCTCTTATTTATAGGCCCTTTTGCTTCTTATAACTTGTTATTGCTCCTACAGAATTTTGCTGATGTTAAAAGTCACTGTGGTTAGGCCAGAAAAATAGGTTGTGTTTCCAACCAGTTCAAGTTGATAGGCATTATATTAAACAATACAACTATACCAAAAGTCTTGGCCAAGATACATGGGTTATAACAAAAGGTATGGACTTAAGTTCAATAAAAAACTGTTCACACCATTTATCTGTGAGGCTGAAAGCATTAGCCTCAAGGACCATGAAATGTTCAAAGATGCAAAGCAGTAAGTGGCCTCAATAAACTGAGTAGCTGAATGATAATATTCCAGGGTTGGTTTGTGTCCCATGTGTTCTTAGGGTTTCCTGGGGTCAGTCGGTAGAGCAGCAGGTTGCTCAATCCATCACTGTGCTGAGGCAGCTTTGCACTTGGGTTCTTAGAACTCCAACTTTCGTTCCACCTCATAGTCACACAAATACATGTTTCCCATGCTTTCCAGCTAACCCAATCAAATCCATGCTTTGCAGAACTAAGCTGTTTTAAAAACCATTAATTTACTAATTCCACGATTCAGGATCCACTTAGCTTGTTAGAGTAGCTGTGTGTCAGACTCTATGTCAAGCCTGGAGGAGTCAGACCATGTGCAGCCGGACACACGGCAAGGTGGGATGGGCTGAATTTGAGGTACAATTATTTGGACTGAAAGTATTCCAAGGTTCTTTATTCTTAATGAAACATTTGTGTTAATGTGAAATGGTGTGCAAGAGGTCTTGGTGGGTTTGGACCAAGGTGCCCCGCAGCAGGTGAGACATGCTGTGCAGGTGTGGCAGATGGCAGCATCCACATGTAAGTTTTTATTATTAAAGGGAGAGAGG